AGGAGGGTTATTGTATAGGACAACTTTCACTATCACTATTGGAATCTCTGCTCTCTTGGCTCAATGGATTCTATCTATCTACCTTTCTCTCTCTTTCCTAGGCTGGCCTTGAACTAGTGGTTTATCCTCCTGCCTCAGCTTCCCAGTGCTGGGATTATAGGTGTGTGCCACCATGCCAAGCTGGAATCGTTTTCTTTTTGTGCATCTTTAACAAGGAATCTATCCAATGACATTTGCTTTTGCTTCCTTTTAAGGATTTTGTAGAAATGTGATGTTGCATTGTCCTTAAACAAATTCATCACTCACAGTGCTACAGCCTTATTTCGGTGGTGCTTTTATATGAAATTTTGTATTGTTTCCCACGTTTTACACATCTCCCTAATCTCATTTGAAATGAGGGGTTCCTCTTTTTCTGTTTCTCTGCAGATGAGATCTCTTCCATAACCTCTTGCCGTTGGGACATGATCACCCACAATCCCACAGAGAGAGAGAGAGAGAGAGAGAGAACGAGCCAGCCATTGGCTCAGTTGTGATCCTGTGACATTTGGCATCACATACTACTTGTATTGAAAGACATAGCTTATTTGTCAAGTTAAATTTATTAGAAATGTTTGCTCGTCTTGCAGAACACTCATGGAATGAATTACTCATAATCCAAAGTTTTACTGCATTGAATAACACAAATCACAAAATTTACCGTACAATCTGCTGATTTTCCAGCCTCCAAATTACTTTTTTTTTTTTTGTTGGTGCTTTTCCTAATCCTTATCAAATGCTAAATCCAAGCTTCATGTAAACTCTAGGGCCAGAGGATGTTTCTGTCTTTAGAAGACCACTTTGGCTAGTTGTGGTGGCACATGTCTATAAATCTCAGCATTTGAGAGGCTGAGGCAGGAGGATTGTGAATTCGAGGACAGCATGGACTACATAGTGAAACCTTGTCTAAAAAAACAAAAACAAAACAAACACACAAAGCCACTTTGATCCCACTCATAACATCCATGTTTCTGGTCCATTTAAAAATGTAATTCAAAATCCTTGGCTGGGTCCCTTTCCTCCAGATTTTTCAAGTGCTAAATCCCACTCATAAAACCCAAAGTCAGAAGTCAGTTATTTTCATTCTGATTCTCTTGTGTCTTGCTCTCTGTTCTTAGTTCTTTGGGATGTTTTATTTTGTGTAGAATCTGTTAGGGATCTCTTTTCTTTATTAACCACTCAGAATTCTTCTATGCTTTTCTTTTCACTATTTGTTATAAGTAAAATTCTAGCATTTCATACTTTTTTTTCTTTTAAAAAAAGAATGTCTTAAATTTTTCTACTTTTCTCTCAGCTACTATATGTATTAGTTTGCTATGGTTGCTATAACAAAACAAGAGCAATGTATTCCCAGCCTGGAGGCCAGAAGTCTGAGGTGGAGGTGTCCTGGGGGCTGGTTTCTTCTGACAGCCTGCATGCTCCGTTGCTCTTCTGTCTTCACGTGGTGTTCCTGTGGTGCATTTCTGCATCCTAAATTCTTCTGGTGAGGATACCAGCTTGAGTAGATTAGAACATACGCCATGGCTTTCTTTTAATTTAATTGCCTCTTTAAAAACTCTGTCTGCAAATACTGTTACAGTTTTGAGATATTGGGGTTAAGATACAATTTAGCTTGTAGTACCTTCCTTAAGAATCCTATGAGGAGTTTTTGTGTTTGTTTTTTAAAATTAGAATATCTCTTGGGGCTGAGACAAATGTAAAGGTACATGAAATTGAAGCTAAACTCTGTACAGACTTTCTTTTGTGTGTGGTTATCACAAGCATGGTTATACATAGCTTGAAGGGATGAAATTACAATCAGAATAATTATACTAAATTTAAATAAAGACCAAAGACAAGTCCATTTAAAAGGCCCTGCTGAACTATCGTAGAACTTTTAATTCTGAAAATTCAGGTGCAATGCATTTCATTTAAAGGTTTGAATGTGAATGTGGGAATGGGGAATATATTTGTGTGAAAAAATACAAAATAATCACTTTAGTGAATCTTTTAGATT